CCCCAAAACCCCAAAACCCCCTTTAGAAAGATCTATAAATTATAGAGGGAGATTTAATATAATGTATACATTTTTATGGGATTTTTAAAGGGGAAAAGACTTTAATTACTATGAATATATTACAAATATTTTCTAATATAATTATATAACATTTACCAATATTCTGACACTAACTTATTCATTTACTTAAATTTTTGAGTGTTAATCGTCAAGGATCTGCTGCTCCATTCCCTAAGAAAACATTCCTTATGCTTCTGGGTATTTCATACTTGGAAGGCTTCCATATTTTAGTTTTTTTGCCAAACAGGACACTTCTCAGATTGTTCATTTTTTCTTTCTTAATTTAATCCATGTACTCTGGCCTTAAAAAGTTCTCAAAGTTTTCACCGTCCTCTTTAAGTTACTCCATCATGATGTCATTGCAGTAGAGACTTTTCTCATTTTTAGATTGCTTTATCACTGCCAGGAATGATTCCTAATAAGTATCAATAGCTCGAAGTAGTCTATCCTATTGCTGCTCAACTAGGATGTGATCATTATTAAAGTATTCCTTAATAGCTTTAAAATTCTCATGCTCCTCAGTCTAGTAACAATTATCGATAATGCTTCTAATGTCATTCTATTATTGTTTCTTGATATCAACCTTTTTAGGCTTTTCGGTTGGCTGATCATAGACCAGCATGCTTATTTGCTGCATCAGACTGTCATGATTAAGTCTGGGACTTGTGCTATTTCTGCTTTCATTTAAGGCAAAATTATCTGAGAACATGTCCCCTTATTGCTGCATAGTTGGCCTTGAAAGCATATTTTGCTGCTAATCTCTATTCTAGTTATATGTAGAACTAGGTAAAGTAATATCAAAAGATTTATGTATTCTCTCTCTTCTAATTTGCTTTTCTGACAAGTGTTTCACATCCTTTTTCACATTATAAGTTTTATCTAAAAATTACTTGATATTATCTTAAATTGCATTTTGCTCTACAGATAGCTTCTCTTTGAGTTGATCTCTGTATGACTGTTTCTCTGTAATGTTAAATGATGTTAATGGCTCGAAATTAGATTCATCATGTGAAATTATCAATTTTTTATTTTTAGGTTATTACTTTTATTTCTTGATTTAATTGAAAGCGTTAGTAAATTCTTTGATTTTGTCTATTTAAACTTGCTTCTCATAAGTTTCATTCACTTTGAACTTCAGTGATTGATTAATCTTATCTAGAATGTTATCCTTATTAGCATTCACTTTTTTCCTCCAGTTTTAGCTAGTTTTATTCTCTTTTGAATTAGGTTCAGTGCTGATATATTTGCTTACACTACTGTTATTTGATTTTTCAGATTACCTGTCCCTTGAAGTCAGAAACATCTTTTCCTTCACTATAAATGACTTTGATGGTGATTTCTTGGCAATTTTAGTTTCCTCAGTCATTTCTATTGTGTAACCATCTTCCAGTAGTTTTTCTAATTTCTTGATTTTAGATTCGAATGACATGTGCATTGTTTTATCAAGCATCTAATTCTTTTTATTTACTAGTTCTATGATCTTTCTCTATTATTCCAGATTTAATTTTATTGGTTCAAGATCATTTACAACATGGCCGTCTTCATCTTTCTTGTGGATGACTTCCTTATTTCTAAATGCATTCTCCTTGATAAGTCTGTTAAAATATTGTCTTTCCTAATAATCCTAACTTTCTTAGGGATTTCTTTTGTTCCTATTATATTTGGTACTAATGTTGATTTACTATTAATCACCCTCATCGTATAATTCACATATCTTTAACTTTTCTTTTTTATAATTACCGGTTAATTTAATGTGATCAATAACTTAAGCTTCTTTGTCAAAGGGTTAATCTACCTTATTGGGCTCATATATTCCCTTTAAGAGCATTCTAGACTTCAAATTTTCCAATGACGCATCATATTGAGTATGAAATATTCTGTTTTTTCTAAGAGACTTTCTAATCTAGCTTATTGTATCATTTTTTGAAGATAGTCTAATTTGCCTTGGATAGTCCAAAACCACTTGCTATGTTTCACCTAGCAAACTCCGCATCCTTGATTGATTTAGCTAGGATTGAAGTAAGTTTTTGACTCCTAGTCTTTAATCTCTCTAAGGATTTATTGAATATTACTTTTTGACGTGGTTTTTAGTTGACTTAATTGTTGGAGAGTGTATCTCGGGAAGTTCATTATTAATATTTTAAGAAGGTTAGATGTTAAGAGGATCTTCGTTCGCTATTGATGAGAATCTTGTCGAGAACTTATTCTAAATTGAAGTGTTATGAAACGTGGCGAAGTTCACATTTTTGTAGCGAGCAAGTTCTTCCTTAACATTCCCTGAAAAGTTAAGTTCAACCTTTACACTCTCCCGAGGAGTCTTTAGAGCTGACTTATAGTCAAAGTTTTTATTGATCTAGGTTTAATTATTGCTATCCATTATTTTAAACTTTAATAAATTTATTACAACATTTATTAAAGCAAATTTCATTTTATTTTATTATCTTGGATAAAGTCTATTTATACTCAATGGGGTTTTGGGGTTTTGGGGTTTTGGGGTTTTGGGG